TAACTTGATTTTCCTCTGTTTTTTAACAGTAATCAAACAGTTCACCTTGAGTTGGTTGGTGAAAAAGAATGAAAGGCAGACAGTGAATAGACATTGGACTCTAACGTTGATTTTCAATTATAGAGCACTACCATCAAACATCAACTTAATTGAAATTTTTTACATCTACTTTATAGTTCCTCATACCAACCAATTTTTATTATCTGATTGCTGATTATAGCATCCTTTCAATGGTTCCCATCAAGGTGAAATATACCAAATGATGCAAAAGTCTTGACAAATTTTTCTTTTTCTTTTGTTTTTTCTCATTGCAGCATGCAGTTTTGTTTGTGAATGGAGATCAGTATTATGGAGCGAAGGCAAGCTTAAACGTGTGGGCGCCTCGGGTGACCAATGAATACGAGTTTAGCTTGTCACAGATATGGGTCATCTCTGGTTCTTTTGGCAATGATCTGAACACCATTGAAGCTGGTTGGCAGGCATGTCCCTCAATTTCTTAGTAAATATTTCATAATTTTCTGTATTGAGAAGCCCTTATCTGCTATCAATGTCCTGAAAGGAAAATCTCACTCGTACACCTGCTATGACATTTTTATCTTATTCGAGTTTCAAATAGTATCCTGGAAACATCAATTGGTGCATGTTGCACGAGATTTTTCTGTAAAATCCTTTTCTGAAGTTGCCTTCAATTATCAGCATGCAATTGTTTTGTTTAATCTGTCACAAACATGAAATGATATTTGCTGTTATGAACTTAGCATTTGCATCTGATGAACAATTGCATTCTTGTTTTTCTTCAGGTTAGCCCTGAATTATATGGAGATAATTACCCTCGATTCTTCACATACTGGACAGTGAGTATAAAATCTAGCAACTGTTCTTGTCTTTCTTAAAGCTTGAAAACAAGAGTTAGAAGGAAAACAAAAACAAAGAACCATCTGGTAATTGGCTTTCAATTTACAGACTGATGCATACCAAGCCACTGGATGCTACAACTTGCTTTGCTCTGGCTTTGTCCAAACCAACAATAAGATTGCCATTGGAGCAGCAATCTCTCCAAGGTCTTCATACAATGGCAGACAGTTTGATATCGGATTAATGGTTTGGAAGGTGAGTGCTTGCCACCATTACTTCAAATAAACAATCTGGCATAATTTCCAAGAAAGGAAGATCTATTTGTTATTTTAAGCTTGAAGGCAGCTTGCACTGTTCTCACATCTGCAAACTTCAGGGTTTGGCTCCTTTGACTATAGCCTGGAGAACACCACCAATAAATGCACTAAACATGCAGGCTTAAAATAATATAAGCCATGAAATTGACTTAGGTGATTAATGACTAAAGACCCTTCTTGACATTTTACTTAATTCTGTTTTTTATTCTTAATATTAAAATGTAAGATTCTCTCCTCTTTATTGCCTCAATCTGTTTATTGATGTGTCAATTTTGTTTTCTTTCTTATAATTTATTTTTTAAAAAAAAAACAGCTCTATTTTAGTTTGACTCCATTTTTAACTCTTATTGGTCGGCTTAAGAGGAAAATCAATAGTTTATGCTACAAAAAAGTCTAAAATTGCTTTCTTTTCTGGTACTTTATGTTACATCTCGCCATCCATCAGGTAACAAGACAATTCAACCAGGCAAGGAAAATTTTTCAGAAAAATAATCAAGCAGAGTTGTGACTGATGAAACATAAATGGACTGCAACAGTGTCCAACATCTAACTGAAAGTACCAAAAATGTTCTTTGTAGGATCCAAAACATGGACATTGGTGGCTAGAGTTTGGATCAGGATTACTGGTTGGGTACTGGCCTGCATTCCTGTTCAGCCATTTGAGAAGCCATGCAAACATGATACAGTTTGGAGGAGAAATTGTGAACACTCGATCGTCAGGGTTCCACACATCAACACAGATGGGCAGTGGCCATTTTGCTGAAGAAGGCTTTGGGAAAGCAGCTTATTTCCGGAACCTGCAAACAGTTGATTGGGACAACAATTTGCTGCCTCTCACAAACCTTCGCCTCTTGGCTGATCATTCAAATTGTTATGATATCAGTCAAGGTAGAAACAATGTTTGGGGAACTTACTTTTACTATGGAGGCCCTGGAAGGAATGTAAGATGTCCTTGAGTCAAACAGCATAGGATACAGGGTGAACCCAACCCCCAGTTTTTCTTTCTGGGTAGTTTTCCTCCTGAACCTTAACATGGTTTGGGTTATTTTTAGATTTTTTTTACTCTATTAATGTATATTTTTCTTCCCCTGATAGGTTGATTTTCCCTCTTTGGGGACTACATGTAAATTCTGGGGGAAATACAAATTGTTAATAACACTAAGCTGCTGTCTGTTTCTTTCCTTGCTGTGCTTCCCAATCCTAGTAAACAACAGCATAAACTCGTTAGGTTACACAGTTACAGATCAGAAAACTAGGGATAAAACAACTCAGGAAAGGGCCAAGGAACCCTAAAAATGCAGTCACAACAACCCATAAATATGCACAAATCTTCTGTGCTTAGGAATCCTCAATCAGAAGACACTATTGATAATAAGAAAACATTTTTCTACATGGCTTTTGCACGTGAGAAGAAGCAAGAAAGCATGTAAAAATTGTAAAGAATTCTCCAGCAAACTTAACAAATGAAACTTCTTTACAATATTAAACTACAAAATGGAACTTCTTTATAGATATATTAAACTATCTTTGGTTTCAGCGCCAGCTTCCCACGAATAAATAAAATACACTGATGAATCTCAGTGGCCCCCCTGCAATGCCAATTCAAAAGTAAAAACAAGATAGAATGCAGCCAAACTGATACCAAATTCACTGCAACAACTAGTCTAACTAAACTTTTGGTGACTATAACTTGGATTTGCTCTGAATACTAAATCAGGAAGTACTATATTTTACACTCTTGTATTGTCCTTCTCCTTTGTTAGAAAGAACCCCGGCCCTTCTCTCGGGCATCAGGGCAGATGTCCTTGTCTCTACAAAGTCAAATGTTTACACACCACCTAATATCAAAGCTAATACCTAGTTCACTTCAAAGAAAAAGCTAGGTTTGATTTCATAAAACCTGATCTATTTGGCACTACATTGGCCATCCAAACGAACTTTTGAGAACCCACTTTGCAATACCAAACTCACCCTAAGAGGGGCAGAATTGTTACTTATGTGGAAGTCCACAGGAAGATAGCAGAATAGTTCATAGATTTTGGTAGAAAGAATGAATGAATAAAATTAATAATGCTGTGGGTACAGACATGAACTAAAAGGCAATAAAAAGATATTTCGGCATGAATAAGCAATAAAGAAAACAAAGATATTGTGCAACTAATCAAGAATCACAAAAGCTGGTTTCTCGCCTGAGACCATTGTGTGTGTAATCGTATTGATGTTAGAATCAATTGCAAAGATTAATATCATATTCTTTTCATAACCCAAATTTCATTTCATCTTGAAACATTACATCAAGATTTTGACATTCATGGCTATAGTCCATAATTAATTGAACAGCCATGATATCACCCTAATTCCTTTACATGTATACCCTGTATTACTATCCAATCACTAAACCCTAACTCTCACATTGAATCTCTAGCAAATAACAATCCCTAGCTCTCATGTGATCTACTTTTTTCTTTTCTCTGCTTTTTTCTCCTCACGATCATTCTTTCTTAGTCAACAAAGCATGTAACCATCATCATTCTTAGGCACCAAATTAGTATCCAAACTATACTCATGCATGATCCACTGGCCTACTTGTTGCGACATTCCACCCTGATATCACACCTTTTCTTGAATCCTAGGGGCTGTACAGCTGACAATTGAGAATATGTTATTGGCTTGCTGAATCTTCACCCATCCAAGTACCAGTGCCCACAGAGTGAGATCATCACCAGATTGAAGATTACACCCACCAAATGAATCCCATATTTCCCAAAGTTCTTTCTCTCCATACAAATCAAAATCCTTAATTAGGTCTTACTCAAGATGAAGGATGGACTTGCCAGTGACTTTGCTGATGAGATAGCACATTAGTGTGACGTCAGAAAGCTCAAACTTGAGTCCTAGAAACATGGCAGCAACATCATCATTCTCCTCCATCAAGATTAGCTATACTTTCTTGCTCAAAACTACCTAAACTTTCTTGCTCAAAACAAAAAATTCAGATCGGTTGCTGAGAGATTTAATTACTCAAATTACTCGAGTGAATGGGAGAGTAGCTTGCTTGTCAAGCTATTTTAAAATAAAACCATTAATATTCTCATAAATTATTTAAGGGAATTGTATTGGGATATTTACTAGGAAAGGAAAACATGCCAGCTTAAAACTTGGGCTTAAAGCTAGAGCTTTAGAAAAGCAGGACCCAACCCAGCCCAAGTGTGTCCTGCTTTTCTTCCAAACTCAGCCGACTCATATACCCTCTTTCTGTTATAATTTCCAGATTCTCATATCAAAAATAACTACGCCACCAAAATTGTACAGCTAAGATTTAACAGGACATGGAACTGACCAGATATGTAAGCTGGTGAGAACCAAAAATAACCAGCTTTATGCCCAAAGCAGTGTCACAACCAAAAACATCATGAACGCCAGCCCAAAACAAAATCCTACAATCACCATGAAAGCCTTTCCCTGAGATTCAAACTTAAATTGATAGTGAACCATGACAATGCTCTGTTCACAAATGGGGCAAGCGCAAGGGCCTAATTCAGCTCCACTTGGAAAGAACTAATAGTTATGGTAAAACATTTGAATTCTATCAAGCCACCCTCCAGCTCTAACAAGCTTAGTTACTTGGCGTCCAACCCAAACCATGGTCATAACGTTGAGAAATCCTTGGACTCCCTCATATGTACCAAAAGGAAAGGGATAAGATATTCCCTCTCAACAGCAGCCAGAAAACCCATTCTTCCAGCTGCAGATCTGTGAAGAACACACAATAACAGAATTGCATCTCTATGTAACTTATAGAAGCTGTTGCTTACACCCACTGTGATATAGAGGGGAAAAAATGTGCTAATTTTGCTGATGTGGCTGGGCATCATATAATACAGACAGTAAAGTGTTTTGTTCAGAGCCATTGCAACTAAGTTTCGAAAGGGCATAGTCTATAAATTTAACAAGATCTTCAGGAGTCAGGACTACAAATTTTTGATCCATACTTCTCAAAATCAGCCATCAAAACTTTCTTCATAGTATAGCTCCAATTCTCTTGTTTGTAGATCACTGCATATATTCTGCCTAAACCAGTGAAAAGTTTAAGAAACTTAGGATCTCTCAGAAGTTTTCTCAAATCCAAGATTTCCTTGCACACCACCTTCAGAAATCATCTTTAATGCTATTTTCTGTATAGATGCAAGGTTTAAAATGCTGCACCACAGCAGACCAAAGCCAGACTGAACTTTTGGACTTTGATTCACTATGTATATAAAATAGTTCCACCAAATTGGCTAATGAAAAGCGTGATATGAAGCGAAGAGGTCATAAAAATTCATGCCTGTGGAAAGAGGAACAACTTGTAAACAAGATATGATCAAGGGAATTGCAATTTTGGCATATCAATTATCATTGTCCAACTGAGCCAAAAAAAAAAAATTATCATTGTCCAAGTGGAAATAGCATCCAGGCATATGTAACAGAAAGAGTTCTGGTAAGTTGCAGAATCAACTCAATGATGTTATCCACAAAAATATACACAGGGACTTTGAAATTCTTTAGTGGTGCAACCTATATGGACGTCAGGAAAATCACTTAATAACATGGCATTAGATCATGTAATTATTCTTTTCTGTGTCTAATCAATAAGACCCTCAACTTAAGTTTGGACTCAGCCACGAAATTCACCTAGAAGGAAAAAAGAGAGCACAATTGGCCTAAGAAAATTCTGACAATGAATTGTGGTAAATTAGCATTCCTATCAAGATTAATGATATAACTGTGTTTGCTGCAAGATTGCATTGACAGAGACCTTCAAAATTGTCACAGATATCTTAGATATCCTCTATGTACTCCTTGTAGTCTCTTAACAGTAGATCCCACTAAAAGAATAAAGAATTTGTAAGACATATTTCATATTCCATAGAAGAAATGGGTTTCTCTTACGTTTGTGAAATACTTGTCCATAGTAACTGCACTTACCACCCAAGAAAGATTATAGGCATTGAACCAGTTGTGGTTTATTGATATTGTGTCTTCCCGAAAAGATTATGTTATGAGAACATGTTTAAGAAGATCTACCATATCACAGGGAATAAAGCTAACTATAAAGAAATCATTCAGGAAACTATGGCATCTCTATGAGGCTTGAGTTCAGACTATAGTTTTAGGCAAGAATAAAGCATGCAGGAGCTTCAAAACCTATGATTTAATAGATTGCAAGACCACCTTGTACCACTCTTTTTATGCTACAACCACCCTGAAAGAATTGATTAGCCAATGTCCTTTGCTTCTTCTCTCCCTTTTATCTATCATTCTCTCTAGTCTATTCTCCTTAATGTCTGGGGACATTTTTAAATTGCATGCCTTCAAAGTATTGATAACCTTCAAGAAGAGAAATTGGAAAGAACATAAAAAAGAAAAAGAATCAGTTACCAGATTATGGACTTGATGATACCATCCGCTAGGCACAAAGATAATTTAATTCTGTTCCGGTAAGCATTCCAGCCAGATAGCCTGCACATAATATGAACATAAGAACATATGACTAAGTTGTTCAGCAGAGAGAAATTATAATTACAATTTGAAGCTCTGGAATGATGGGTTACCTTCTTAAAACCAGGGAATTTAGTTTCACTAATGTCATGAAAATTATTATATACAGAGCTTATCATGTTCCTGGAGTAAAAAACAATGGCAGTCAAGAAACAATGAAGCTAAAGACATGTGACATGTAGAAGATGCTTTCTAGGAACAGCAGTCAGCTCCAATTGGCTATAATAGAAAGTGAGAATATGGACAATATCCTACACATTTGTCATCACAACTCCACAAAACAATTCAGGTAAAATTTTCTCTTGATGCCTTTCATCTTTCTCTTGCCTCATTTTAATAATTTTTGCCTTTAGATGACAAGGCATACGGATCAAGACCACAGGCCCGAACCCTAGGCCAAATCAATAGAGGAGAGCTGCATAACCACCTGGTCAATATAAGGCAAGACATAACTAGTCAGAAGCTCAGGGCAGCATACTAGGCAAATTTATGGCCCACCATATGTAGAAGACAGGTAGCACTCATGCATCACCCCTAATTCTCACTACATTCAGGCTCTTAGGTAAGGGATCTCACAAACACTCTTTACTTTTATTCTGCCTCTATGGCGCCATCACTAACTTCACATTTGGAGCGTCAAAAGCAGGACAAAATCCAGCATCTCCTAGGACTCTTCTGTTTTTTTTTTTTTTTCAGATTTCTCCACTGCATCTTGCCCTTCTCTTGAATTCCAGTGATGACAAAAATAATGCCAAAGAAACAGTTGTTACATTTCTAATTAGCAGCCAAATATCCTTTTAGTAATTAAGTAAGTCCTTTCCCTAAGTCTAAGAAAGCTACAAAAGTTAAATGTCCGAAGATATGCCTGTCTAATCATACAAAGGGCCAGAAGTTCTGCATACCTGTCAAACAGAAGATGACATTCCAGATGAGGCAGAAAAAGCCATTTCTTCTTGCCAAACACATTTGCTGACCAACTATATGATCTGAAAACATCAGCATGAAGATGTGTCCCAGATCCTGCACAAGAGATTTAAATAGTTAGATAGTTGCCTTTAGGCTAAATATTCATGAATACAGAATAAGAATAAGCACTAAGCATCTTTATTGACATGATATATATCTATAGTATATCCAACACCAGAGATAAATAGAATTTCGCATCTATTCTTAAACCATTGGCTCCCATATACACAGACGATAGTCAGGGCAACATATGTCATTCTTCTCTTGGTAAGTGTCTGAATCATCATGCATACAATAATTGTCAAGATAAAGATCGAGTCAATCATCAGTAAAAAACAGTGGAGTTCTGTATGCTAGATATTCTGGATGCTCCTGACAAAGAGATTGAAAAGGATATGAACGACTAAGACAACTACGCTGCTAATGTCCTAACATATGTACCATAAAGCATATCCAAATGACATCCAGGCGTGTTTTGGGTAATAACTATTAGTTTAGTTAAGAACAAGATTTTGCAAAATAAAGGATGCAAAGTTGGAGCAAACCAAAAATGACCAACAAAAACAACAGCATTTTATAATCATCACGAACAACAACAAAGAGGGAAAAAAAAAAGAAAATGAAGGGCAGATAATTTGAGATGATGCCAGAAAAACAATGACCTCAATAACAAATTAACATATTTCATGGATTGAGAAATCTATTCTCTTCAAATCTCACCTAAACAGTTTTAAAAGTCAACTTGTATGTCTCTTTTGTTTCACATATAATTAGAGCAAAAAATCTAGATGTCTATTCCAGGACTTAGCTTGTATGCTACTGCATCTTTAGAGCTAATAGTAGATATTGATGGTTGGCATAGATGCATCCAAGTGCACTGATTTCTAATAATCTGATATAGTGCAGTGTGCGATTCAAATGAAACACTAGGAAACTTTCTCACATACCTAGAATATTTTCATTGCCACTAACAATTTCTAATAAAGAGGGTGAATATACACTCCAAAAAGCTTAGCATTTTAACAAATTGTAATGAGATATGAGTTCTCAGAATGATACTGCTTGAGAATCAACAATTAGGAAGATTAAAAGTAAACGAAGAGGGGAACCACCATGAAACACTCATCAAGTAACTAGTACTTATTAAAAGATTAAAAGGCTCCTTCACAAAATACCAATCCTTGAAATAAGGCACCAAGTTGCCATTACCATTAGCGTCAAGGTCCTCCAGAAAACCCTAAAGCCAGTGACTAATAAACTCCAAAACAGACATCTCTAACCTTCTCTGATCAGTGAATACCCCTGCACCGCAATCTGCAACCTATAAAAACAATACCAAAATTGAGAGAATTCAATCAAACAGCCAAAACCCCAAGTCTAAAAAGAATCCAAAACGAGCAAAACTGATACTAATCTGTCCATAAAAACAATAAAAAAAATAGATGCAAAAATTTAGAAAGAATAATTGCCTGATCTTTGGACGCAATGCAAAGAACCGTGAACTTTTAAATCTATTTTATTCTCTAGAAAACAAAGAAAATGAAGAAATTTAAAATATATATAGAAAAAAAAGTATAGGAACCTCCGTAATAGTTAAGGAGACATCACTTAAGACAAGAGAAGCCTTCTCAAAAGGAATATCTGGAGTATTTCTTTCTTGATTTCCAAGTCGATCATATTAAGTACTCCATTGATTGGTGACACCAAGTAATTGCAATTCATAGCCCACTTAGACACCACTTCACAATAAGCCACAGGTTCATTTATACCATCTTCAAATACCTGGATAAACAACAATTTAGAAAAAGGCAGGAAATCTAAAATCTAGTGTAATGTTTCAGTTAACCTTCATCACACAACCACGATTAAAATTATGGAACTATTGAAGTAAATGAGATTATAATTCCACTATAAGCCAAACCTCAGTCCGCTCTTTAGGACTAAGATCTTCCATTTCTTATCCATATTCCAAGGCAGGCTATCCAAATCATGATACATAGCAAGCCTCTCCAGTTGCAAAGACTGAACATAAACTTCAGAAGCATTAGCACAATAGTTTTGCTTGTCATTCAGAAACAAGAACCAGCAGTAGTAATAATGAAAAACCTTTCACAAAGACCAAACCTAAAAGGGAAAGCAGCAAAAACTTAAAAGTTGAAAAGGAGAATGAACCCACCATCTTCTCTTAGAGATAAAAATGTGGCAGACATTTGTTAAAGTCATTCTTCAGTTTTGGCATGCCTTCAGAATTTTTTAGACTATGCCAGCCATTGTCACCTCCTAGTTTCACAATTCATCATCTCCAAATATGGTATGATATCCAAACAACAGATCATGTTTTGAATTGAGTTTCAAGAATTCAATGAAAAATAAGAAAAGAAGGATAAATAATTTTTTGCCTAACTCCATAATCAACTGATGAAATTCAGTTGCAATGAAGGCTATAAAGTTTTCAATTCAAAAAGCCTTGTACCATCCTCAACGGAAAACTATATTCTCTGATATTGAATAATCATAAAATGGCACTTATACTCACAACTTCAAGGAGCCCAGATCATGGATTAATGGACTCATATATTTGATTCCAACCCCTCTGAATTCAAGGTAAAGTTCTTGGCAAATATACAACACAAAAGTTGAAACATCAGAAAGGGCATTTTTTACCACCACATCTTGAAAAGCAGATTCCCATTTATGAAACTGGAAAATTTTTTTATTCACAGACAAACATCATCTTTTCTTGAGAAATTCACAAAATAACTTTATTAGGTCTGAAACAAGGCGAATCAATACCACCAAACACAACAATCACACTTCACTGTTCCACATGATTGAGCTGCATCCTGATCCCAATCTCTATTTGGATGCAATACCCTCTATTTCAAGAAACAACCATAGTGTTTAACTATTAACTTGTTTTATGAAATAACTAATACCCTTCTCAACTACTTCTAAAGGACAGCAGCATAAGCTATATGGCAGGAAAAAGACAGAGCTGACTTTACGCAACTTATCAAGAGCACCACTAGTATCAAAGGTCTCATTTCCCTGCTCATCCATGGTAACAGCAGCAAGGTTAGCCAGGGTAACACCAGAAGAAAACGGATGGCCTGGATTACTACAAGATTAGAGTTCATTAATAGCAAAGCAAGGTTACACCGCTTAAGAAAATTACAAAACCAAAAATGGACAGAGAAGTGAAAACACCAAAAAAGGCACATGACCACCACCCGACACAATCCTCGTATCTGATATGTACATGCTGATAGATATCTTCAGGTTTCCAATTACTGTAGAAATCAGAGAACCATGCCGCGAATTTCCAGGAGGCTGCAGAAACAACTCAAACAACGGGGGAAAACAAAAGAGCTACAGTGAGTCACTGTTAATTGCAAAAAGCACCACATTTTCTCCAAGATACATGTAAAGGAATTGTTAAAGATAAACATGTAAAACAATTATTATCTGAAGAGTCATCCATTGACATTTTACTAAGGAGAGTACAAAAGTATATTAGAGAGAAGTGAAATAAGTAATTGCCTGATAAAAGAATTGAATTCCAGAGTTGTGTTTAGCATCCAAAGACGTGCACTTCCCAGCTTTGACCCCGATATTCCTTTATATAATTTTAAACCCGGAGTGTCGTTGGACCATTTTTTTCTCCTTTTCAATGGTATCAAAGTTGCCAATCCGCCCACCTACCCCATGAAGCAATGTCCCACTCACCACCACCACCCTCCCAGCCTCTCTGCCTCGGCCGCCCACGGCGACATCTTCCTATGCCATCCCTCCTCTTCCCCTTCCTCCTCCTCCTCCTCATGTTTCTCTGTCCCACGTTTGCCGTCGACTCCTGTTCAATCCTTCACCACCGTCACCAACCTCACCCTATAAAACGACGCCCGAATCGACACCTCCACCATCCGCCTCACCACGACTCCAACCAGTTCTCGTTCGGCCGTGGCTTTTACCCCACCACCCTCTCCATGAAGCCAACTTCAAATTCCTCATCTCTCTCTTCCTTCTCAACAGCCTTTGTTTTCTCAGTCTTGCCAGAATTTCCAACAGCCCAGGGTTCGGCCTCTGCTTCGTCCTTTCCAACTGGACTTCCCCACCAGGCGCTTTAGCTAGCCAGTACTTCGGTATTTTCACAAACGCCACCGACTCTCCCGTGGCTCCCCTCCTAGCAATCGAGTTCGATACCGGTCTAAACCCGGAATTCAATGACCCCGATGGTAACCATATAGGGATCGACTTAAACAATATTATATCTGCCCAAACAGCGCCTGCTCAGTATTTTAACTCTTCAAATGGAAGTTTTGTTCCTGTCAACATGCGGACAGGCCAAAATGTTCATGCTTGGATTGATTTTGATGGTGTGAATTTTGAGATCAACGTCACCGTTGCTCCAGTGGGAGTTCCGAAACCTTCCAGGCCAACGCTCAATTACAAAGATCCAGTGGTTGCTAATTATGTTTCTAGTGAAATGTTTGTTGGGTTTTCAGCGTCCAAGACTCAGTGGGTCGAGGCGCAGAGGATTTTAGCTTGGAGCTTCAGTGATACGGGAGTTCTTAGAGAGATTAACACCACGGGTTTGCCCATTTTCTTCATAGAATCATCGTCGTCTTCTTTGTCATCTGGGGCGATTGCAGGGATCGTTATTGGATGTGTTGCTTTTGTGATAATTTGTGGATCTGGGTGTTATTTGATTTGGAGGAAAAAGTTCAGGAAGAAAGTGAAGATGAGATTGAAGATTGGGAGCTGGAGTACTGGCCTCACAGATTTTCTTATGAAGAGCTTAAACAAGCTACGGATGGATTTTCGAATGAAAATCTTTTAGGTTCAGGTGGGTTCGGTCGTGTTTTCAAAGCGACACTTCCAAACAACACGGAAGTTGCGGTAAAGTGCGTGAACCACGATTCCAAACAAGGATTGAGAGAGTTCATGGCTGAGATCGAAAGCATGGGAAGACTCCAACATAAGAATCTTGTCCAAATGCGAGGTTGGTGTCGGAAAGGTAATGAACTCATGCTTATTTACGATTACATGCCCAATGGAAGCCTTAACCGTTGGATTTTCGACAAACCCCAGAAGCTCCTCGGTTGGAGGCAGCGGCTTTCGGTTCTAGCTGACGTCGCCGAGGGTTTGAATTATCTCCACCATGGTTGGGACCAAGTTGTTGTTCATCGAGACATAAAATCGAGCAACATTTTGTTGGATTCTGAAATGAGAGGCAGGCTTGGAGATTTTGGATTGGCTAAGTTGTACGAACACGGACAAGTTCCTAATACGACCAGGGTGGTCGGAACATTGGGTTACTTAGCGCCTGAATTAGCCACAGTAGCAGTTCCAACAGCGGCTAGTGACGTGTACAGCTTTGGGGTGGTGGTTTTGGAAGTGGTTTGTGGGCGGCGACCATTAGAGATGGCTACGGAAAAGGAGGAGGAGCAAGTATTGATTGATTGGGTGAGAGACTTGTACGCCGAAGGACGGCTATGGGAAGCGGCGGATGCTAGAATTCGAGAGGAATACGACGGGGAGGAAGTGGAGATGGTGTTGAAGCTTGGGTTGAGTTGTTGTCACCCTGACACTTCGAGGAGACCACCATGAAGGAGGTGGTGGCGGTTTTAGTCGGAGAGGAAGTGGCTGCTGCCCCGGCTGAGTTGTTGAACGAGTTGACTCGCTGCGGGACTACCGCTGCGGATGATGCCGCCGCCGCCGAACCACCAGTGTGAATACGTTTCATTTTTCAAGAATAGAATAGTGGCGGTGCAACATGCTCTTTGACTTGTTTGACACGTTGATTTCATTAAATTATGTCCATAACAGAGATGGCTGAGTTATACTCTGTCCAACATGGAATTTCGCTGTTCTCATTCTTCTTTATCCCATTTTATTTTTGCTTATAATATGTTATTTAGTAAAAAAAAAAACCTGTTACATCTTATATATATATAGACACCACATTTTGTCTAAATTCGTGACGACTTGTTTTTTATGTCCAACAGTTATATTTTTGAATTCACATATTATGATATATATATATATATAAGTTCTATGATTAGGAAGGGTGATCTTATGGGGCCTTTGTTCTTAATGCTTCTCTACATTGTCCTTGAACCCGTCCTTCGTATTTACTGCACTAACAAATCTTGGTCTAAAATAGTGGGCTAATCCTTGCTCGTTCATCGGCTTCGATAGAAGTCAGTGGCAGTACCGGTCCAGGCAAAATAATGTGCAAACAATCGTTGAATGTTCTTCCTTTACCTCATCTTGTAGTCTTTCACAATATGTACGGCCATGCTGACAAATTCAACGAGTCAACAAATAAAAATTCTACAAAATGAATGGTTAACATGATTAATTGAATGAGTATTAATATATTTAAGATGATGTTAACAGGGTCGTGCCCAACATGAGATGGAGATGAAATTGTCTTCCTTCCAATGGATCCTAAAGTCCTGTGCTTGACAATGATGAAGAGGGTGACCAGTTTCTTATCCAGTGTTTCTCCTGGTTTCAAATTTAATGCCCGAGTTGGAATGGTAATGCTTGTTTTTTAATAAATGAGAAAAGGTTGAGCATTCAATTGCGAATTTCCCATCCCATTCCTGTCTTGACAAAAGGTTGATCTTTAGTGCTTTTATTATGGGATTCTTCTCCCCTTTTCCTGACTAATTAATTAAAAGATTACTATCTTTTAAAGTGCCTAACGGAATTCATAATAGGGTTCTAACGGTTGTGACAAATCAATTGCCAATTTGGCCAATGGCTGCCACTTGCTGGATAGAGTCAGTGTTCTCTGCATGTAGATGTAAGCATGACTTGATAAAGTGTTCCCTGAAACATGGCAAAATGAAAGCAACCTGCATTTGCAAATTGTCATGGTTTCTGCCTAACTACGCTACCCTTCTTGTCACTTGCTAAGTGCAAAAGAAGCAGAAGGAAGAAAAGGCACACATCTCTGCAACATATCAACTTCATATTTACATCCCCTTTTATTTTATTTTATTTTATTTTTTCCAAGGGCTGCAACTGATTCAGATAGATGGGTGAAGTGTACAATAAAATTAGGACTTTTTTGTTGCTCAATGACTGTGTTAATGGTGTAACTAGAGTGTAAAGTTGAGGGCATGGAAACTCAAGTATGGTTTCTTTTTCTGTACTCTCGAGTTAAACCATTGAGACTTCTGCTGGCACAATGAAGCAACTGCCCTCTTCAGTGATTCTGGGCCGCACACCAAGACTCCAATGTTAGAACCATCAGTTTCATTTAGGAACTTGGAGAATACATCTGATGAGAATCCAAATGTGTTAGAACAATTGCTGACAAAAAGTTACAAAAGGATATCAGAATGTAGGGCAGATATGACGATACCTTCCAAATTAGGCCTTCCTCCAAAATGGACTTCATGTTCCTCAACAGCACCTTTTGTTTCGGTTGAACCAAGTTCCTTTGCTTTTTCTTCCCTTTGGGAGACCAGTGGTATTTCTTTCTTCACCTTTCTCCATCTCAAAATAATTGCTACCAATGTGGTGCATGCTAGAGATATGATGAATGAGGATATGATGAGTATATCAGCAATCCAAGAGGGGCTTGTTTCTTTTGGGGCCTTGTTTTTGGAGGAAAGAGCCACTCTTAAAGAGTGAACGCTTTTCTTCTCAGAGGGAACAAATATATTGTTGAAACAGATAACAAAAACAAAGAACACGATGGAAGCAATTCCAGCCAATGCAGCAATCCGAAGCAGACTTTCTGGTCCATGTATTGCATAAATTGGACCTTTTGTGCCTAAGTGAACTGTCTGCACTTGAGATGTCTCACTAAGTATTTCTCCTACCGTTGCACCAGACTGCTTTTCTTGGGTCACAAAAACTTTTATTTTCAGATGCCATTTCTGTGAGGGGTGGTTCTGCAGTAGGGTAGAAACTGAGTTTAACAAGCCAATGTCCTGGGACTTCTTCACAACATATATCAGGTGCATTCTGGAAGGGATTCTATATCTACAGCTGCTTTGAGCTGCAGCAATTTCATGCAGTATGCTCAGGAATGGTGTTATTCCAATTCCACCAGCAACCAAAAGTAGACTGTCATATCTGCAAAGAATTTTTGGCTACGACAGTGATAATCTAATAAAATTTGTAATGGAGAATATATCAACAGATCAGTTTTTAGATATGAAAATTTTTCATGCTATGTAATTCTTTTGCGCACCTGAGAAAGATCATGGAGGAAGGACCATAAGGGCCTTCTATTGCAACAGGTATGCACTTCATCTTATCAGCATTAGAATCTAGCTCAGCCTGTATCATGTCATAGAGAGAACTTGTCCACCGTCCGTCACACTTAACTATGACGGACATTCTGTGATTATCGACAGTGGAACTCGACGTTATGCTGAAAGAATGCCACTGAAAATTGGATATACTTGGTATCTTCAGAAATATTATACTTGTGGGGGTATACCTCAATCCTGAAATGAGTACAGAAACCACATTTTAAACGTTTCTTCACATGTAGTATTTCAGTAGAAAGAAGTGACTAAGAATTTACTGGAGTCTTTTGGCAGAATAAGTTCAACAGCTTTAGATGGGTATACTCTTGCTGAAAGAATGTAAGTTTCAGGCCTTGACTGTGTGATGCGTAGTAGTTTGTCAATGCCAAAGAGAAAAATTCCAGGGAAGATCATATAGAAGTGTCGATCCCCGGCATGAAGCAAGAAAAATACTATGAAGATTATGTACAGGTGGTGTATGTAATAAAAGATTTCAAATCTTTTCCTCCTTATTTGAGGAAGTGATGTAATCCACATAATCAACCCCGTAACAAGAGTAATCTCTCCAGCAAGGTATATCCGGCCTGTTCTCTGCCATTTTGTGATCTGTTGTTGAAGGACAGCAAGGAGGAGGGATAGAATGTGCAAATTTAAAGAAGCGTCAGATGCTAGTAGAAGATAACGAGTATTAATGAGATTCATTTTGAAAGGAGATTGAAGAAACTGCTATAACCTCATCCAGGATGTTGTGGCTGATGCCCCAGATGAATAAGGTGCTTGCACCATGAAAAGTAGCAAAACATATCATTGCAGTCCCTAGCCATATATGATATCTCACTGAAGCTTCAAATTGGATGCCAAGTATTCGAAAAACAGCCAGTCCCCTTAAGATTGGCAGAAGAAGCAAAGCTAGGCAGGCTTCTGCTAGCAAACCAAATCGGGTTGCCACTCTTAGATACTTCAGTTGCCATCTAGAACACAGGTAACATGTAAGTAATGGTGATATTCTTGATTTCTCAGCATCTGTCATGTTTAGTAAGAGCTTTTAAGAACTCACAGATCCAACTTCAGTGATTCAACCGGTGTCAGCTTCTCAAAATCCTGAGATATGCGTTTATAAAATGTCCATGCTAGAAAGAGGATGAAGAGGAATACTGCCAGAATCTCTACACTGGATAAAATGCCAATAAGTTTACTTATAACTAGTGGATTTGAGAAAGCAGCTGCTGAACTCCTTACTTGTCTGTCACAAAAAATTAAGCAGAAAGAGTGTTGAGAAAAAAAAAATTCACAGGTTGCAATTTAATGGCATGATCATATTACCTGCTTCTGTGCTCCCAAGGTTGCAAATTCAAGTAGACAAGTCCAATCATAGCCAGAGCAATTACAGGAAATGTATACACAGCAAAGTCAAGACCTATATGATATTCATTGTTGGAAATTAATGTTTATAACCTCTTTTACAGACAATTCTTTCTGGGGAAAGAGATGAATGATAGAATCATGTTAGAGAAAGAGATTCAAAAACAAATTGGCAAAAGGTGGTTTTCAGCATAAGTAAAGCCTATTTTGATAATATCTTAAGTATTTACCATAATAACCAAACACTGTATCCCGAGCACTGGCTTCTGCTCCTTTCCATTTTCGTGTCCAGAAGTTTGTTGGTTTCAGTAGCCAGAGAGATATCCAGCCTGTGCATATTAAGACCATCAATACTTTGAGAACAATGAGAATACTGGCTTTCCCCATCTTTTTCTTCTAAACTGGTTGCTGGAAGGAGGTTTGTGAATTTCACATAGCATGACAAAGGGTCACTATATAAAGAGCTGTGGGGAAAAGAGTTGGCACCACTAGGTGATAAAGTGACAGTTTTAAGCCCCAACTAGCTTTAAGGAGTGCCCACCACTTGCAAAGTCATTTCCTTGTGGTTGGCAATTCAAATAAGGAATCTTCGGCTGTATCTAAGTAGTTTCGTATTCTAATACTTCATCATTCCTTACCTTCCATGATAAGAAGTTGACATTTTTTCTTGGAGGAAATGAAAGGGACAGTGAAAAATCTACTTACATATGACATAGTCTAGCAAATACATTTTTCATTCTCATATTACTATTAGACATCACAATCTGGTGAGGTTTTGATTTGCTATCAGTTAAATGAATTATTCCCAAATTACACAGTGGAGATATGGTCCATCCACTTTCTTTTTTTCTCTTTCATTCTCTTTCCTATCAAGTCACTCCTTTCAAGAGGATTCAACTCCAACTCACCACAACAACAATCTTAAAAGGAATGGTTTAAGTTTCTGTATTTTGAGAACCCCTTTTTCATTATATTGAATCATAATCATAAGATGCTTAACAGATCTGTCAATATGCATTTATCCAAAAAAAGAAAACAAGAAAAAGAATCTGTTCATATGGCTTTAGGATTAACTCTGTTTTTGTCTTTTAGCATCTCTCTTAATCATAATTTCTACCCAGTTTCCTCCACAAAGCAAATGATGGATTAATTGGACAAGCCATGTGGGGTAACTTGGAATTGAATCCACAAAAAGTGGCAGCTAGAGTTTTCTCTACATGACTTGATGAGTTCGTGCACTGCAAGATGGATAAATCAAAACTAGCAAAGCAAATGAAGGTCTTATTGCTCTTCTAGAAAACAAAATCACGAATACCAGATGATTAGATGAAGTCTAGACCTAGCTTATCTTGTGAGTTGTGGCCTTCCAAAAATTAGAGGTGCTTGCCTTCCTTCTAACTCCAAATTTCATCATTTGCAAAGTAATTTGATTTATTTTTTACTTGAACATCATATATATGTTATCAGTTTCCACTTTCCACTTGAGTTCATAATTTTATATTATTCCCTAGTTGCCTCAATCCTTTTAGAGTTTTATATTCTATGAGATTCCTATTACTTGAGATGCATGATGGCATTTGCAGCTAGAAGGAAGGCAAGCAAAGAAAAACTAACTTCAAATGTTGTTTAAACATTCTTAGTTACCAGGGACATAAAACACAGGGAGTGAGATGTGAGTAGTTTGTTAAGAAACCAGGGTTTCCCTGTTTTAAATAGTTAAATTTGAGGAGAGACTTAGGATGTGCCTAGTCCACAGGTCAATATAAAATTCTGAAATAAGACTGACATGCCTACATATCATGACAAAGATGAACATCAAAATCCTTTGATTCTAATGCCCATATATGGTTTCAGATGCTATTCCATTGATGACCATCCTTCTTCCTAGACCACACCTATCTGAGAAATAGTTTAATGTCTCTATGAATAGATATCAGATAACATTACAGTTATAAACAAATACCATTAAATCATCCACATGCAATGCACATGTAGCAAAAACTAGTAGTTATAAACAAATTTCCTTGGATCTTATGGTGTTTCCAATTCTATCTAATCAAACAACTTCTCTTTAACTAACAGTTTGGGACAAGAGAATGAGGGCTACAGTTTTAGCCATTTAGATTGCATGTTTGGTGGCATATCCAAATGATTATTCTCATTTGGAAATTTGCGAACCATTTATTTCCTTTCGCTTCCTTATTCTTCTCATAATCATCAACAGCTTTGTACCTTCACATTTGTGATTCAAGCTTTCCAATCAAAGAGAACCCTCCATTCAAGCACAATTCTAGTAACTAATAGGCATTACTAATACTTAGTGCAGGCATAGAAGGAAAGCATTAGATAAGAACTGAAGAACATGATAGTCATTATCAAAACCAAAAAAATAAAACATGTGATAGCTCTATCATAAGAACTAAGTCCTTTAGCTTTAAGTAATCCATAGGTAATTTTATGCTTAGTAGTAATAATTTAATTTATGTCATGGCATTTATCATTCATGCTCTTTCAATAAATTTTTTGTTAAAATCTCTCATTTTAGCCTCTAATTAATTGATTTTCTGATATTGAAAGACGTGCAAAGACTTGGAACGCAAATGGCAAAAGATGGTGCAAGTAGTTGAAGAAAAGCCTCCGAACATGTTACAATATTTTGAGCATAACTCGAGTTATAGAACTCCAATTGATACGATTCTTAGACCTACGAAAAGCTAAGAGAAAGAGTTACAATTTTGATATTTAGTACTTCACCCAATTCAGAAGGGATTGTGGTAAAAAATACGAAGAAAATTGACTAACAGCAGCAGACTACAGTCAGTGTGACAGAAGCTTGGGCATATGGGCACCCTGCTCTCAGCGCCTAGGCATCGATTGCCCTGTCCAGCATGTTCAAAATAGCCACAAAACAAAACCTTGGGCACCTAGGCGCACACATCATTTTTGCACATTTTTGTCCATTCGATTTTACATCAAATGGCAATAAAAAGGAAAAATCTTGAAGAAAAGCTTGAAAAAGCTGCACCAAAAGAGTTTTCTCTCACTAATTTCATTTTTCTCTCTCTAAATCTCTTTGTATAAATGCTTGGTTTTGCTGAAATTTTATTGTTGACTGTTAAAATGTTAAGCTAAACTTTCTTTTCTAAGATTATGGTGGATATTAATATATAGTTTGGATACTTGATTGCTATTATTTGTTTTTATGGAATATTTATAATTTTTTCAAATCTATACTTATTTCTCATTTTATTGATTGATCACTAATAGGATGCATATGATTTTTTAAATAATACTTAACAAAATTAGTCTGAAAAAACCATGGTTGGAGTAGTATATCATCATTGCACTTAGGCAGTAGTGGGTGATTTGTTAATAAGATAGACATACACCTATTAACTATCTATAGTCAATTTATAGGACCTATACTTAATAAACTTCGCTTAATTAATTAGCTATAGACATATAAAGAATTAAATTAAGTTAGACCATTATACAATAGCTAGACGGAGAATCATACATGCTTAAAGATCTTAAGCTAGTATTAGTTTTCCATAAAAGTAGGTAATTAATCAATCTTAAGTCCAAATGAAGCATTGATTAAAATCATAATCTTAAGTACTTCCTCACTGATTCTAACTCAATTTACTTGCATTTTTTTTTAACTTAGTTCACTAGTTTACCCTTGCTACTTTAACTTGTTCATTTTCAATTAATTTTCATCCTGGATTTTGGATAAAATTAGATTGCCTAATTTGAATAATTAGTAAGAATTTATGTATAATTTTTTGTAGAGACGATAACTCACTCCCTATTATATTATTTGTTTATCATCGCTAAATTGATTAAAGTTTTAAAACAATTTGTCTGGATAAATTAACACATCCTCCATAATCCCTTGATAATAAGTGAGAAAGCGTTTAGCTAGCTGTAATGTCACCTTGATTGACTTGATTTCTCCCAATTCTAACTTTTGATAAATTGAGAAAGCATAAATTTAATTTATTTTGTCAACTGTTTTATTCTGAATTATGACAAGACAGGTTTTAGTGTTGTGTTGAAATCAAATTTTGAGCATAGTTCAATTTATTTTCAACCCACACCTTATCTCAAGTATGTTACAGGCCCGAGTAATTATTTTTTAGAGTGAGATTAAATACAAATTTCAAACTAAATTAATTGCCTAACTTAACCTACTGACTATTTTGGCAACTAAAGATAACAGGATAACATGGTTAGGGCAAGCAGCCCAAATCCGAAGTCCATTTTGTTGATTGAAGTTGCAAGGCCAAGGGCCAAGGGCCGATTCACTTTGTCTTTGTTGAAGAGTTGGAGACCCTGCAAAGGGGCTCGGGGTTGGGACATGGAAGGTAGTTTTCTGGCCCATTGCCCCATCACATATAACTTAGAAAAAGGACAAAACAGAGAAAAAGTCTACCAGGAAAACCAGAAAGAGCCTGCCCCAGGGCCACTTGTTTTCTAAAACTTACTACTACAACATGATGAATTGTTCTAGATGGAAGAGATGTGTTGCACTCGTCCGACCAAAGATGTATCTGTAAAAGAGATCCCAAAGAAACAGACAACACATTCTTTTCCCCAAAAAATTCCAGCATCCAACAGGACACATTGCATCATTACCTTCTCCTTTTACTGCAGCTTCATTCCATCCAAGTTTACCAAACAAAAATTGATTAATACACAGCAAAGACCCAACATGGCAATGCATGCAAATGTAACCAGGACTTGGACCACTCAGCTTGGAAACCATAGCAGCAATGCAAACATCTTTGATCATACCCCTTATTTCTGTAACTGAAAATTCTAAGGCCACACTTTGTTTTGTTGCAGCAGTTGATTTAACATGTGCAATAAGGACATATAAAGACCCAGGCTTCAAATATGAGGATAATAGGCAAGATGCTACCTCCCCAAATACAAGGTCAAAGGCCTTAAAACTAGACGGATGGAGGAGAAGAAAAGGTCGGAAGGCCTTGTAGAAAAGAAGAAGAAAAAAATAAAAAGAGACGGGTCATTTTTTGCTGTGAGTTGTGACATATCATAAATCGAATTCGCCTGCAAACCTTGACGAAAGAGAATCTCTCCTTTTTTTTTTTTGCTTTTTCTTTTGTGGCATTGAGAGCAACGGCAAGTTCATCTCATAAAACCTCCAACCCACTAACACCAAAACATTGTTTGTCTTCCCTCTCTGTCTCTCTCTCCCTCTTTCACCCTTCTGTACCTTTTTGTTCTTTATGTCTTTGTTTGTAAGAAACTAGAGAGAGGGAGAGAGAGAGAGAGAGAGGGAGGAAGAGATGGAAGAAGAAAACTATGTGCCGGTAGACTCCATGCAGTATTATACAGCTCGGATGATGTCTCCGGAAATCGTAGAGATCGGAGAAGAGAGTAAGAGCTTTGCGGGCAGCAAAGATGGAAGTGGCAGCGATGTTTATGTAGCTGTTGGTAGAGATAACTTAGATGTGTTGAAATGGGCACTTGACCATGCTGTTTCTCCTGGAGGTCGGGTTTTTCTTGTTCATGTTTTTGCTCCCATAACTTTTGTACGTACGCCAGGTATTAAACCCAAAGTTCCTTGCTTTCTTTTCTTTTAAGTTCTTGATTTCCTGATGAGCCTCTTCATGCTCTTGCTACTATTTCTCTGCAACCATCTGCCTTGGTAAGATTCTTTTAAGTGTTTTATCTGCATGTTGGAAACTTTTGTTGATAGTTGGGAAGTTATCAAAGAACCAGTTGAACGAAGAGCAGCTGAGAGTTTACGTTAATGAAGAGAATAACCGAAGAAGGAACCTCTTGGCAAAATACATTCGCCTGTGCATTGACTCCAAGGTTGGAGCATTCGACCATGTATTAAACTTGCACCAAAAGACTTTTTAACAGTGAGAACTGATCATTTCTACTTCCCTGCTGCAGGTGACAGTGGATACGATGCTGATTGAGAGCAATTCCATGTCCAAAGCAATCCTTGAACTCATTCCTGTTCTCAACATCACCTGCCTTGTCATCGGAACCAAACATCCACCTAGCTCAAGGTATCATCGAATGTTTCACCAAGAAGCCTAACTGCTAAACCAATTGATCACTAACTTTTCATGATGTTCTTCAGGCAGAGGAGGAGAAAACAGGGGATAGGAGAATTGATCAAGAAGAATGCTCCGGACTACTGTGAGGTTACCATTGTTCATGATGGCAAGAAGGTTCAAGATTGTCAACAGGAACCAGAGCAGGTCCATTCATCCCAAGAATCCAGTCCCCGAAGACCAGGGCTCATCTCCGAAAGGAATTTCTTCCAGTGTGTATGCTTTACAGGCAAGTTCAATTGAGCCTGTGCTTGGTTCCCCTGCGGATCAGTGGGATGATCTACAAGGAAAAATCATAGTTTCCCATTTTATTCCTCCATTTTCTGTAAACTCGAAAGATACCATTACTGCTTGATTGATCTACTCTTGATGCTGAATGTAAATTGGAAAACTGATAATGATAAAGAGATTTAGTGAAAGTCATTGCAATACTGTGAAAGTGCTTCACTTGGAGATGTTAGCATCAAATAATTGCAATAGTTTCAACATACTCAAGATGTCCATCATCCCCTCTGGGCCATAGTCTGCTAAAGTAAAAAAGAACCTACAAGGCTTCAGGATTCATGACAAGCAAGCAGTTTGAATCATATTTTTCCATCGGCATTTAAGAACCATTAAGTTTGGATAAAACTTAGGCTGTTAGTGATCGGCCCTATTCTTATAGCATAATTAGAGGTCCCTGCCTTCAGCTTTTTCTTTTTCCTGTATTGAAGCACACATGGAAGTTTATAATGAACCATAAACTTTACAAAAGTACAAAGAAAATTATTTCTTTTTTCTCCAGTTGCATGATATTGTGCCATATAAAAGAATGAACAGTTCTAAATTCTATAAAGTTAAATAAAAACTTGATTGATCATTTGATGTAATTGCTATGCTTGGTTGGAGGAAATGGATACGAGCCAATAAATATGGTCTCGGCCATCCTTGGGGCTTGACCATTTGGAGCGTTAAGGTAAGCTCCTTCTCTTGACAGCCTATCTAGTTCTATTGAAGCCCTCAGCCATCCATGCTCTTGGAGTAGTTGATCTGGCTTTGAACCTACATGCCTATGACTTCGTTGAATATCCTGAATTTGAGACTTTTTACACATAAATCCGCTAAGAAAAAAAAAAAAAAAACAACCTAATTCAACTCAACTCAAATTGAATCTAATATTGAATTGTACAAATTTAAAAACGCCTTATTGTATTATATGTATTTGTTGACACATTAGAGTTTGAAAAACAAAACTCTTTTTATAAAAAGAATTCATAAACAATCATAATTTCATCAAAAGTTCATGAATATA